GCGCATTCTGGGGTAAGTTTTGAGGCCCTTCTTTGTGTGTAGCGGTTAGCCCGCATAAGCGGGATTATATACACATCACATGCGAGCAACTACTTTTTGAGATGAAATCGAGTGCATGGCGCATTCCGAAATCAAGCTTTCTGAAAATATCAGCACCATCTTGTAGCGCTTGAAGAGCTGAGTTCAACGGTGTTTTCCGTTTCTGGAATACTTCACTCTGACCGACTTATAACGAATTCACGAAATTAACGAGGATTCGCGTTATTCGCGTGAATTTTCGATTTCAAACGGCGAGTACTGTATGTGACGTTGGGGGAGTACTGCAGCACGTCCATATGGATCATTAAGGTTCCACTAGTAGTTGTCAATCGCTATTTTTGTGGAATGTGTCGCTTCCCCCTCAGCACAAATTTTTTTAGTATCCTTGTGGTAGGCAAAAGAGCATGTTGCGCACTGCTGTCTAATAGGCTCACACATCTTATTCAGAGATAGGAACAATCTTTTGAAGGATCACCGTTAAGCGGTGGCTTCAGTTTTGCACATCAATGCATATTTCCAAGTCATAACCAGTTTAAGTACACAAATACAAATATAAGTGCAGCTTGATCATTTTTTCGTTGGTTTTAAAGTTGTGTCTCCCATGTGCCCGAGACATGAAGTAAACAAATAAATAATGAGTGTCTACAATAAAGAATGTATATTTGGTAGCGTGGCACACACTTCAAACTGGGTTATGATGAACCCCAATTCACTCTTAATCAGAATTCTTGTCCCTCGAAGCGCTAAACAACATCAATTGTGCGGAAAACACTTTAGAATATGCTTTTTTCTATACCACAAGCTTTAGAGCACTTGCTTTCTAGAGAGAAGAGCGCAGCAGCCCATTAGGCACCACATCAACGCCTTCTAATAACATTTTTTCCTCCTCGAGTTCTATTGTGAAACGAGTATTCTAATGCTTCATATCAAATTTCGGGGCGGAGGGTAAAGTTCTCAATGACACCAATCACTGAGAATGATCACTAAAAAATAAAGTTGTCTTGGAGAAGTCCGACGACTCTCACCCGTGCTGGTACTAATGCTTATCAAATAACTTGGTACCGTTAACTTTACAATTGCGAGATGAGCCTACAGTAGCTTTTGCATTATTAAAATCAACAATGACTTCACCTTCAGTCCTTGCTGCTTGAAGTATGCTAGAAAACGGGTTTCGTCCTCCAATCATCGGTCGTTGCATCATTGGCATTGAAGATTGAATTGGAACAACCACTGGTATTACCAGTGGCACTTTAAGTTGCCTCCTGTTTCCTTGGTAACCGGAGGATCCACGCCCATATCCGTACCCACCGTAACCTTGGTTGTACGTTTGGCAGCATCCGGTATTGTAGCCGCCGTAGCCTTGATTGTAAGTTTGGCCAGATCCTCGATTGTATCCGCCGTAGCCTTGGTTGTAAGGACCGGTAATTTGTACATAATAGGTTTGTGTATAACTCTGGCCGCTACATCGTGTGGATATTATTTGCATAAGCAGAGGAAGACAAGAAAGCCATAACCGCATTCTGTCGGAAAAATTGCGTCGTCGTCACGAATTTATTCCAGTCGACGACCAACTGTCAACCTGCAATCGCACGTAAAATTTTCCAGCATACTCAATCAATGCAAAAACAACAGAACTGGTAAAACGGGATCGGAACGGAGCGTATAGAGCTAGCGTAGCGTTTTAGGAGCTCAGAAATAGTTCGGGTTGATTAAAGGACGAAATAACGCAGAGTTCAAATCTCTTGCTGGCAATTGCGCGTCAGGCCGCACCCTCAGAAGGTCCGCCTCTATCTCAATTTGTCCATTTCCCCCTCTTCGGGATTCGTTCTTATCGTGAATTCGTCCTTTGGACTTTTAAGGGAGGAGAAATAGAGTTCCTGCACGTGCCCCTACATCATGCAAAAAAATTGCAAATATTGCAAAAATTCAAAAATTAGAGTGCGTCAAGCTTTTTCATAACGGTTCTGCACAATGTAGGGGCACATGCAGGATCCACGAAACTACTGTCCTTTTTTTTCTGAATGGCTCTCTGAGTACCAAAAAAGGGGCGGAAAAGAACGACCTTGGGGATTGTCGTTTTTACTGTACATTGTAGTGCATATTGTCCACAACGCCGACTAATGTCATATTCATGGAATTCCGCTATCCGTGCATTAAAAAAACGCGAACTTCGGGCAAAATGATGCGTTCCTACAAGCTATGTGCTGATGCAAGAGAGTGCCATGGTTTCACAAGAAATTTTGGTGGCAGAGTGTCGTGGGTCTGTTAGCCTGTGATAACATGATGGGCTCAAGATGGCACGGGTGCGCGAGGGTTGTTGGTTTGACTCCTTACGGGTTTAAGCTTTTGCATTTTGGCTTACACTTTAGCATGAGTACCGAATGGTACTATGTCTACGTTAGGCTCACATTCATGATCAGAGTCACATATAACCCGAGTTGAGTTTTCTTTGATAACTGAGAGGTATCTGTCACGGCGCCAAATTGCGCTGGCGCCACAAAAGAATGTCATCTTCGTGATTAGGCTGCTGATCTAACCCATTAGCGAAGTTTTGGGGAAACCGAATTTCGACTCGACTTCGAAAAATTGAACCGGTCGTAGAGATAACCCGACCTGTGTTCCGAAAGGCTTGAAGGCGAATTCGAATTGAGAAACTAGAAGTACCCCTCAGTGTTAGACACGATAAACTAGGTTTTGTGTCTACAGGACAATTTTCACACTTCGTTGCTCATTTTGAAGTCGATCTAGCTATCAACAAGAGGCCTAGCCAGTGGTAGGGCCAAAAATTCAACTGCCACTATTTGACGGAAGGAGAACCTAGCGACCTAGTCATCGTGTGTGGTCCTCGGTATCACCGGCTTGGTGTCTGCCATTGTTCATTGTAGGTCAGGATTTCTCATTTCTAGAGTACGATTCTAGATGACAAGGAGACCGCCTTCAAATCATCCACCGTCAGGCCTGACGGCTATTGACTTACCCATGGTCCAACTGTTCGAAATTGGGTCAAAATCTTATTTTCTCTGAAACTTCGGTTATAAGGGTTATCCAGTGCCCTGATTACGATTATGACATTCGTTTTGGCGCTGACGTCATCTGGTGCCGCTATGACGCCTTTCGGTGCCAAATTGGTGCCGTTTTGGTGTCACGAATTCCATCACCAGTTTTTTAGTCAAAAGCTATTGTAAGGTTGCTGATGGTTCCAATTATGAAAATGACATCCAGTCTTGGCGCTGACGCCATTTTGCGCAATTCTGAAACGCCATCTCAAAATGCAAAAGTTTGTCACCGAAAAGAATCAAACAAACTTGCAAACGACATGTTCGCTCGATTCAACCCCGCGAACGGCGTAACTTTTAGTTTTGACGAAGCCGGTGGTCAACTCGTCATGTCTAGCGCCATGTCCGCGGTTTATACTCCTCGCCAATGAGTAAAAATCAAAACTTCCGATCGATAGCATAGGGCATTTTACCAATGTCCCTGCCTTCATTTTGTGCGCAAGAAACCACCAGTTCCGCTGACTAGGTGCACCTCTGCTAATCATGGAAATGTAGAGTTAATTAAACTTAGGGAGATGTATCAAAAACGCGGAAGCGGCACTGAATTTCTTGTTCGTTACGCTAGGTTTGAATGTTCATTGGTACGCTAACGAATAAAAAATGTACGTGTCCGTCTAGAATGCATTATTGGATGTATTTATTTATTTTATGGAAATATCAGGTTTGCTTCAAACGTTATCGCGCATCGGTGGGGAGGAACCACGGAATAGCAGCATAACGTACAGTACTCGCCGTTTGAAATCGAAAATTCACGCGAATAACGCGAATCCTCGTTAATTTCGTGAATTCGTTATAACTCGGTTCAAAATTGAGCTTTCGAGAATCCGAAAATATCTTTGAACTCAGCTCGTCGGTTCTATAAGAATGTGCTTTGAAACTTTGAAAAAGCTCCATATAGGATTGCGCCATGCACTCGATTTTCATCTCAAAAAGTAGTTGCTCG